ATAAATAGGACAAGCCTGGAGGAGTTCTGCTGTGTGGTGAAGGTGCTAATGCTAACGGTTAGTTTAAACTACCTTAGATGTTCTCTGTTGGTTCCTGGATGCTAAACCAACAACAGCCTTCCTCGTTGTGTGTCCAGATGGGTGAGTCCATGAATGTTCAGTGACAGGGTGACGTAGATCCGTCAGGATTTTCTAATCCAAGAGTTTCACCATCTGTTTATTATTATTTTTTTGCATATTTATTTGTTTTACTTTTATAAATGTTTACTTTGTTGCCCACTTTTATTCTTCTTCAACATAGTTTCCAGTTTTATTTAAATCATATCTGGTTTAGGCAGCAGATCAGGTCATTAAACATGGCCACCCTCCTTACAGAGCGTTAACCTGAGTGAACGGATGAACGGGTTAGGGTCATGGAACTGAATCACTTCAGCGGACGCCTGAGTGATCTGGGGCGCCGTGGACAGCTCAGCAGCGCTGAGTCGTAGACAGACTTCTTTACAAGAGTTTTAAATATCACAAACTCTGTTTAATTGTATTATATTTGACTTTACGAGGCTCCGGGCAGTCCTTCACAGGAAGTTGCCAGTCAAGCAGGGATAAAGGAGAGGAAATGGAGACAGCCGACTCCTTTCACGTTAATGAATTGGGAGTTGTAGATTTTATGAAGCTATAGGTCGTATCGACCCGCGTCGGCCGTCTCCTTCGTGCTTTCATAACATAATCAGCACTTGACACGTGATTATAATAACCCGATGCAATTTACTGCATCCTCTGCAAACGCATTGATTGTTTTCCTCTCGTGAACATCCCTGAGAACCAATTACATTAATACGGCTGCATAATTTGTTTACACTTTACTAAATTACTGGGAGATTAAAAGTGAAACAGCACAGTTCATACCCCGTCCAACGTAACTGCCAGGGCGGAAATTAATATGGATTCAAAAGGTCCCGGGAGACGAGCGCGGTGAAGCGGGAGGAAGAAGGAAAGCGGCGATCTGTAGCTGGTTGCAGGCTGGCCCGGTGCTGCGTTCGGCGTTCAGGTCGTTAATGTGGTCGGTAATCTGATATGAATATCCATAGATCTGCTCCTGTGGGGAGAAGCTGCAGCCAGGGCCAGTTAGCATCAGATCCTTGGCTCAGAATAACACATTTAGTTTAGAAAGCACCTTTTTACGTCACCTAAATAACATGAAAACAAGGATGTAAGTTTTAGTTTTAGAACGCTGGATTAAAGATCCCGCTGTTACTTTTGTCTTCTTCTGCCAGTCCTACATTTTATCGGCCATTATTTATCCATTTAGTTCGTTTAAGTTCCTGCGTGCGTGTTTGGTCCGTCCAACAGCTGCAGACCTGTTTGATTTACTGGATTTAGCAAAATAGGAAGAAAAGAAATCAGGATGACGTCCAGAATAAAGTTGAGAAGAAGTGAAACTACTTCATGGATGAGAGAGGTAAAACTCCACTGTGCTGCAGAACACGACTGTTTTTATTCTGATTGTTACAACCAGGGGCGGATTTAGGACTGAAGAAGATCCGGGGCTTAACACACACGCGCACACGCGCGCACGCACATGTCAACATCATATATATATATATCTTGTACCACATAATGTTTAATCTGAAGCTACATATTCAGCATATTCAGGGCAGAGTATTGTTCCTGTTAGTGTTTAGTGTGAGATGATAGTAAATATTCCCTTCTTTCTCCAACAACTTTACCTGATAGTAAGCTAACTTTAGGCAAACCAGCAGCACAACAAATATTTTCAAATAAGACCCACAAACCTGAGTCAACACCAGTCTCATCAGAGCTGGGGTTCTGTCGCGGTACTTTTGGTCTAAAAAACGTCCTTATGTCCATCTTCACTCATGCGTTTCAGACAGAAACTGTAGAAGAAGCCGGCTGCTGAAGGGCTTTTCTTCAGTGGTGGAGGCTCAGGCAGGCTGTATACCGATTGAGTAGCCTAGTGGTAGAGTGTCCGCCCTGAGATCGGGAGATCAGGGGTTCGACTCCTGGTCGGGTTATACCATAGATTTTGAGAAAAATGGGACCCAGCATTAAGGGGTTGGATTGGGGGTTTAAACCACCAAATAGTTCCCGAGCGCGGCGTGTCTGCAGCTCACCGCTCAAATGCGGAGACTAAATGGGACTTTACAAACTACTGCCAGCTGCGCTCTCTCTGTTGGACTTTGGTACTGCATGTTACTACGGCGATTTAGATCCGGGGCTTATCGTGAAAGATCCGGGGCTTCAGCTCCGCGTCAGACCCTGACCCCAAAAGTGCCTTTTTTCGTCACTTATGTGCGAAAAGGGTTTTTTCCCTTTTCTGACTGCAGATCCCAATGCAGCGTAAAACTGACTTGATGGGATATCCGCCGATGCGGCACCGAACCAGCTCATTTAACCGCACCTAAACTTTAACGTTTCACTATTTATAACCTTCCCCTCATCCTAGCCTTAACCCTCTTGCTACCTAAAACGTTACTCTCACTGTGATCAAGCGTTTGTTTCACATGCATTCTGTGAATTTTCGTATTTGCCGCCCAAGGGGAACGTTAGAACATACCATCTGGCGAGGGGGAGGTTACACATACCCTCTACTTTTAACCTCCACCGTGGTAGTTGAAACCTCCCCCTCGCGTTGGCTCGGTCCAAACCCGACCAATGACGAGGCGGCTCCCGCCGTTCACTTCATAGAGCGACCAACACATCACTAACGTGTTAGCTAGCAAGATGGTTAAGGTTAGGATAGGGGTGAGGGGAAGGTTAAATAAGAGGATAAGGTTAGGGTGAGGTACAACGAGCTTGTTTGGTGTCCTGGCTGCGGACGTCCCATCACATCAGTGTAACGCTGCGTTGGGATCTGCAGTCAGAAAAGGGAAAAACCCCTTTTCGCACATAAGTAACGAAAAAGGGCACTTTTGGCGTCAGGGGTCTGACGTGGAGGGTGGCTGACCAAGCGTTTGTTTTTGACGCGCTGGGAGTGAGAATGTGTTGGATTATTATCTCATTTGTCAGAGATACTCAGAACTTCCTTTAATCCTTCAAAATAAGAGTCTCAAACATGTACACATACTCACTTCTGTTTGATTGATGAGGAATTCAATCTGGATGTTATTTTTCCACCTGATGTGATTGTCTCTGACCGATTTGGACCTTTTTTTTTTAGATTTTTTAACTTTAGTGAGATAACTTTATTGTTACTGGACCCTTTCTAGATGAACTGACTAAATCAGATTAAATCTGATTGCTTTGCATCAGCAGCTCAGTGAACCACCACCCCCCCAGGTCCATCTCCAGTGCATCTCGGCTCCAGCCAGGAGAAGGCGAGGTCCTTGCAGGTGAGCCGCGGCGTGGCTGAAACGTTCGCTCTGACCTTTCATGACCACATTGATCTGATGAACTGAGCATCTATTTCCTCAGAAACAAACATAAATAATTGGTATCGGGTTCCAATGGCGCTCCCCCGATGCCTTGCACCGATATAAATCAATTCACACTTATAGACACGATATGGGTGCATTAGTGCTGACTGGTCATGGAGGACGGCTGAGAGGTTCGGGATTCAATAGACCTGGATCAGACTCAGCCAATCGCTCTGCATCAAGACGTAATTTCCACCTGCAGGCAGATGCTTTAGCTGGTTTTGGTTACTTTACTAATTATTGTTGAGCTCTGACGGTAAAAAAGCTGATTTAGTTTGTGCTGAAAAACCCAAACAGACTTTTCATCATCAAACCGAAGCTGAGGCGGTTTTAGTCCAGAGGTTTTTGGGTCATTTTAGGTGTTTTTTTTAATATTCTGTCTTATATATGTTGTTTGAGTTTGCTTTGCATCTTGTTCCTGGTGCCTGAATTCCTCCGGACAGATGGTCACAAAGATTTTACCTCTAACCCTAACCAGAACATTTAAAATGTTGTTGCTAAAATAAAACGTCGTGGGTCTGTTCTGTGACTGCGGTGTGGGAGGCTTGCTGAAGACAGCAGGATGTTTCCGTGCGAGGCAGAAACGCCTCCTGGCTCAAACGTTTTAATGAACTCAAGGAGAAAACTTAGCGTCAGGGCATAAATGTTAAATAAAATCTTTAGTGATTAAAACATATTTCTTGTGTTATTTTTACTTTTTCTTATTTTATGCTGTGCACATTTATTTTGTCATTTTTACCCTTTAAAGTGTTTGTAATTTTTAAATTTGGCACATTTTAATTCAGTTTCTGGACATTTTAAGTGTGTGTGTGTGTGTGTGTGTGTGTGTGTGTGTGTGTGTGTGTGTGTGTGTGTGTGCCACTGGTCAGCAGTGGGGAAGGTGGGGCCAGTTATTACCTGTCCACTCTGCAGCTCCACTGTTTTCTCAGCTGGAACACCTCGGTTTCCATCGAGAGGGCAAAAGGAAGAGGTCACAAAATCTTTCATTTCCCAAGTAAAACACACGTCTCAACTTCTTCGTCAACGTAGAGAAAAAAAAGAGAAAAAGACCAAAGCTCAGTGATGAATGTGTAATCAGCCTGATTAAGTCATTATTAGTTGTCTGAAGGATCCTCTGAAGGAAACGATGGCAGAAAAAGGAAACAAGGTTGTTTATGTGTCTGGTAGGATGTGATGTCAGGTAGAGAGGCCTCGGTGAACTTTTACCTCCTGATCCTCAGCTGATTTATTCTTGTATCATGCTTTTATTTCAGCCACAAAGCTCCAAAAAGACATTAAAATTACTTCTCTTCCTTCTGTCCAAACTTTTCTGTCTTTTCTTGTTGCCAGCAGATGGCGCTGCAGCCTCTGTACAGCTGAGAGGGACACCATTTGCTCAGCTGGCCTTCTACCAACAAACAAAAACCAATAATAACATTTTTAAAATGATCTGAACTAAGTTCCTGCATGCTGGCCTTTTTGTTTGCACAATCTCTAATCATATATTTTAATTGCTGCATTCTTAGAGGATAAGGAACAGCTGTTTGACTTCCTAAAATCCAATTCCTTTTTTTGCATCTTGTTGAGAGGAATCAGACGGTCTGCTGCCTCCTTTAATCACAGTCAGGGAACCGGTGGGCTCAGTGTTGGGCTTCTGCTGTTAGGCCAAAGAGCACAGCTTAGTGTGGAAGGGAGGCACTATGGACGTAGGTAAGGACATCTTTTATTCTTTAAAGTGACCGGAGAGGAGAGGAGAGGAGAGGAGAGGAGAGGAGAGGAGAGGAGAGGAGAGGAGGTTAATAATTAAACTCAGGAGCATCTGCTTGGAGGTTGTTTCTAACTGAAGTATTAATTTTATTATTATTATTATTATTATTATTATTATTATTATTATTATTATTATTATTATTATTATTATCATTATTATCATTATTATTATTAATATTATTATTATTATTATTATTATGTTTTAATGAACTTAATTAAAATCTCTTTCATGGGTACCTCATCATTAACAGACCATCATGATGTTAGGGAAGGTGTGTGTGTGTGTGTGTGTGTGTGTGTGTGTGTGTGTGTGTGTGTGTGTGTGTGTGTGTGTGTGTGTGTGTGTGTGTGTGTGTGTGTGTGTGTTTACAGTGGGCTCTGAGGTGGGAGACCGTGGCGTGTTAGCTATTGAAAGGCAGGAATGTGAGAAGGCGTTATTGGCCGCTCTTCACGTGAATGGAAGAGGGGGTTAGAGATGACGGCGTACAGTGGGTGGCATGGCCTCGGCGCGGCCCGGGAGGAAATGGAATGAGAAAGTGCAGTCAGGCAGACCACTCATTCACCATGACAAATGGGAGAGGCCCCGGCTGAGGGGGATACCTGATACCCCACGGTGGGCTGCGCGCACCTGCATGGGCTTCATGTGCACCAAGCTGGAAATAAACCAAAAGCGCTTGTGGCAGCAGCACACCTCCAGAAAATAACAAGATGTGAAATTAAAAAGATAATGATGCTGCAATGTCAAACAATCAGTTTAATTTTAGCTTTTTCCTTTTGTAACAGGTAGATTTTTATATCCACAAACATTAGATCTATTAGATCTATGAGGATTTTTATGCTGAGCAAAAATGTTTGTGCTGATTTTTTGTAAGTTTTAAAATTAAATTCACAAAAATCACAAAATTGCAAAGTTAAAACATTTAATTATCGAAATAAAAAATATAAATTTAACGTTTAGCAAAACAAAATTTAAAATGAACTTCCTGAAACTTACATGAACTCATAAAAATTCTAAACTCCAGCATTTATTTTAATTTTTTTTACTTAAAATTTAGATCCTTTTTTTTTAAATGTTTTAATTTTAATTTAAACAATGATGGTATGCAGTTACTTATGAAGGCTTTTACACCCAAAAACAAAGACATTTTAAAATGTCCATTTTTTATTTGCCTTAAAACACAATTTAATTCACACCAAGAAAAGAAACGTTAGAGCACATTTTCATTCCTAATCCGAGTCTCTCCACGGCCATTTTTCCTGGCAAACACAACTAACTCTTTAAATGTCATGATGCATAAACAAATGCTTGTTAATTTTGCCCAATGAGTTAATCAGAAAATTTTAAACATAAAGTCATGAGTTGCACGTCGTGAGGCTCCAAACTGCATGGATCAAATTCCAGCAGCACGTTAAGTCATTGGGGACTGTTTGGAATTATGGGGGTGCCACTCTAATCCAATCGTGTCGGAGGACAGAAGAAGAGACGTCCGTAAAGAGCAGAGAGGCGCTCTTCTGTTCACACACAAGCTTCAGGAAGGGCCTCCGAGCGTCACTCTTCCCTCGAGTGTCCAGGAAGGACTTCTGATTGCTTCAGCTGTGCATGCAGCCGTGCACGTAGACGAGCATGCAGCCGTGCACGTAGACGAGCATGCAGCCGTGCACGCAGACGAGCATGCAGCCGTGCACGCAGACGAGCATGCAGCCGTGCACGCAGACGAGCATGCAGCCGTGCACACAGACGAGCATGCAGCCGTGCACGCAGACGAGCAAGCAGCCGTGCACGCGGACGAGCAAGCAGCCGTGCACGTGGACGAGCATGCAGCCGTGCACGCAGACGAGCATGCAGCCGTGCACGTGGACGAGCATGCAGCCGTGCACGCAGACGAGCAAGCAGCCGTGCACGTGGACGAGCACTGTCCCAACACCACAGGTTTTAAGACTCAAAGCAAAAAGTGGCATTGACACAAACAGCCCATTTTTAGTGTTTCAGGGTTGAATTTTGACCTTTGGAAGAAAACTGATCATTTATCGATTCATTCACTTAATAATTAGTTTCACATCAGCAGCATCACTTAAAGTTATTTTAATTCTACAAAAACATTCTATCACCCCTCAAACTCTTTGTGCCACGTTAAAAAAGAAGACGTAACACTTTACAACAAGGGTCCCATTTACTAACGTCACTTATTGTGTTGTTAAGCATTAATAAACAATAAATAAACAATGAACAACTGTTTCATATTAATGTTATTAAGTAATGCATTACTACACAGAACCCCCCCCCCCCCCCCCCCCCCGCCCACACACACACACACACACACACACACGGCCGTTTGTCCTAACCTTAAGGACTTTTAATAGTTAATAATAGCGGGGACGTTAATGGCTTAATAAAGCACTAAGTAATGTTAATAAAGGGACACGTATTATAAAGTGTAGAAAAACTACGGAAGGTCGACAACTCTGGAAATTTAAACCAGATTTAGGATTTTTCCTATTTTCTTTGAGTGTTTTGACAAACGGTTTGCTCCGGGTTAGATGCTCCGGCATTCATCTGTGAAGTCAGCTTAAAGAAATCTGACTCAAGATTATTTGTGCTTTTTAGTTTTGTTTTGTTTTTGCTGCAAATATTTAAAGTTTTGTCCTCAGAAGACGGTTTTTCTGTAAATGTGCTAATTTATCAAGTCTTTCATGCCACAACCCTGCAGCCATAATATCATCATCATCATAATTGTGAATATTATTATTATTATTACAAAACAACAACAATAATACTGATGATGATAATAAATACATGAAGTACATGAGTAGTCGAGCACTCCTTGTGTCTGTCTGGACGCACGCGCTCCTGCAGCGCCTGAATCTCCTCTGATCCGTTCTTCCAGCAGAAGCGTTTCCTCCAGCCTCTCCCCTGCAGCTGTTTGCTGCTCTGAAACGGTTAGAAATGTCAGATGAAGTATTTTTATCCCCGCAGACGTGCCAGGATGTGGCGCTTCTTTGCGTTTCTTTCTCGCTGTTTGCGTGTTTTTATTTGGGTTGGGAGCATTTGGGTTAATCTGATATTAGTCAACAGGGACGGTTCTCACAAGCGCTCTTCTTGTTTCGCAGAACTGCCTCTAAAATTAAACACGCGGTTGTGTTTGGAAACTCAAACGTTCAGACAAAATTTAACAAACTCCTTTAAAAACGATGCCACTGATATTTGTTTACATATAAACAAAATCTCAGTTTCTCGCTTGCAGATGCTGTAAAATGATCAAAAACACGACCGTTTGAGTCGCGTTCAGAGTTTTTACTTTCTTTGCCGGGAAGTTTTCTCCTTGATCAAAAACTAAACTGATCAGAAATTCCCAGGAATCTCCAACCGAGAGTTCCCGTCATGTCTGCTGCTGCGGGTTACTGCGAACATGTCTGAACCGTGTACATATTAATGTCATTTAGAATATCCTGTGGTTTGCATTAACTGGTTTGTGCATTCCTCAGCCGTCGCACGCAGCTCGTCTCCCAGTCCCACCAGCAGACGAAGCAGCGGGCCGGCACGGGGAACAATATGCTCAGAATTAAGCTTTGACCTGGGAATAAGCCCTATTTTATCCACAAATCATACGAGGTTAAATATGTTTTGTAAGTAGATTAGATTCTTCCCGCCCCCGCAGACGCTCTGGATTGAGATCCCAGAGATGTAATCCAGATTCATAATCCAATGATTCTCGCAAGCTGTTTTGTGGCTTTAAATACTGGGAATGTGTGTTGATTTAATATCGTTCTAATCTCCTTTAAACGGCCAGTTGCTGTCTGGTTCACGGCCATCTTATTTATTCTGCCTCTGACTGCCGGCTGGGGACCTGAATCTGAGGAGTCCAGTGGTCGTCGTCGTCGGTTTGGGACCACCGAGCGATGCTGAGGTGACCGGAAAACGTGAAATCAGAATCGTGTTCAGGCTCGTGAAACAGAAAGAGTTTGTTTTTATGATTTGATGCATAAACAAATAATAATAATGAATACTGAATAATGAATTCACTGTAATTTCTACACCTTATACCTTTATTTCCGTTTATTTACCTCCACTTTCAGCTTTTCACATTTTTTAAGTGAATACATGAATTTAAAACATTCCTGGTTCTGCTTTCCAGGTTGGCTTTGTGCGGAAATCTAAGCAGAAGTTGTCCGACAGCCTGTGAGGATCGCTCAGTCCAACAGGTGGTGCAGAGAATTTTGACTCGGAGGTGTTTACTGTCAATAGTGCTTTAGGATAATTGAGTTGTCATCGAGCTTAGGCTGATAATTATCCTTGCTATTTTTATTTAGTTTTATTCTAAGTGGATTCGGCTCCTAGAAGTGCACGTCTAATATTATTAGATGCTATGAGTTCAGCCTGTGCAAATCTGTTAATGCATAAGAACATAAGAAGTTCTTATGTTGCAGCAGGTCAAAGCAAAGGCACAGCAGATTAATATTTGATCATGCAGAGGGGCCCTTAATCAGATTTGCGTATTCCTTCAGACGAGTGCTCTGCAGCAATTATCATGATTGTTGCACTGAACATACTTTCTTTGTGTTTTACGGCTGGTGGCGGGGCGTGAGCGTGCACCACGAGGGGGGATTGCAGCTCCAAACCCCATTAATGCAGGCTAAGGGAGACGGAGACGCGGGAGAGGAAAGGCAGGGCCACCGGCCAGGATTCTGGCCCGACCCAGAGCCGGAGCTGAAGCCCGGAGCCGTGCAGGTAACTCCAACCACCTGGAGCTCCAGCAGGAATCCCCGCCATCCGAAGCCCACCTCCTCCAGAGCCGTGATGTGTCGGCTAAGAAGGGAAATCAGAGCCACCGCCACACTTTACCCAACAAGCGTCTGTTCAGGGAGAGCAGAGGCAGAGCGAGAACGTTGTAGCTGAAAAAAAAAAGAAATCAGTTTAAATCTTTGATTTTTTTTCACTTTGTCTAATTTATTAAACATGTTTTCTTTATTTGTGTGAGAACGTGATTTATTTATTTACAACTAAATGTGCTGTTAAAATAATTTCTATCTAAAATAATTTAAAATAATATCTATTAATCTGTTTATGTTGTTATTTAAAAATATATTTACTTCTAAATAAAATTAATAAAGAGCAAACTGTTTCCACAAACAGACTTTTTTCATCAAATTGTGCAACATTTAAATCAATAAAGTTCTTTATTTTTTCTTTAAACGAAAGGCTTTTCGAGTTGCACTCTGGGGGGGTGGGGGGGGGGGGGGTGGGGGGTGGGCAGCACCGGTGCGCCTGTTTCAGGAACTAGAAGCGAGCCACATCACAGCTGAGCGTCAGACGGCAGGATTTGGACTCTTACTTCCTGATAATTGAACATCTCACCTCTGATTGGCTAACAGCAGCATGGCTCTACCACTTTGCTCTGCATCATTGATGTTACATCTCTACAAATAACACAAGCCAGGAGGAGTTCTGCTGTGTGGTGGAGTTGCTAATGCTAACAGTTAGCTTCTGCTAGCTGAGACGTTCTCTGCTGTTTCCTGGACGCTAAACCAACAACATCCTCCCCCGTCATGAGTCAAGACAGGTGAGTCCATGAATGTTAAGTGACAGCGTGACGTAGATCTGTCAGGATTTTCTAATCCTAGAGTTTCACCGTCTGTTTTCTATCAGAAGCTACTGCAGGAGATAGGTGTAGGAGACTATTTTCATGTTCAGCCTGCATGAAACACTCAGAGTGACCCGTTAGAATCAGAAACAACCATTAAAAATGGGTTTTCGGTGTTCCACACCTTTAAATAATGTTTTATTTCACATGTGCTTTAAATCCTTTATAATAAAGTCTGCGTCGTGCTGCAGGTAACAAGGAGGACAAATAAAGGAGCAAAAGTTGCAGATTAATTTCTGCTCTTCAAGACATTTTGGACTCAACACGTCGCTGCTCGTGTCGCGGCGAGCAACAAAATGACCGAAGCAGACCTGCGCTGGGTGTCACGTTGATCGCCGTCTCGTGAATGCGCTGTCAGCCCGCCTGTTTGTCATAAGCATGTCTATCAAACAAATGAGCCCGAGGAACTCTGCGGTCTGTATGAAAGCCATCTATCCTGCTGGGGGCACAGCACCAAAAATAAATAAATAAAAACGCTGGGAGAGACGGATCCTCATTAATCTATGTTGACTGGCTGGAAATTGCATCTTTGTAATGAGTATTAGGTGTGCATCTACATGAATTAAAGCTGAACGAGCCTCTGATTGATCACCTTGTCCCAAATGGCGGTCCTTCCTGTGATCATTATTGTTTAAAAGTGACTAAATCATATCGGGATGATTAAAGGTCTCTACGAGGGGGAGAGAGGAGATAAAGGAGCCACAAGGTCCAGAAACGTCTTCACCCTGAATCCGGTTGATTTACTGTAGTTGTGTTTTCCTGGAGGAAGTTGGGATCTTCAGTGGAAAACTGCAGCTGGATCGTCGCGCGTCACAAGGAGATGAACTGGGAACAGAGGCAGCGTTACCATTAGGCAAAGGTAGGCGATTGCCTTGGGCCTCAAAAACTTTAAGGGTCCCATGACGAACACTTGACGATTATTTTCAAGGTATTTTTCGCTCTGAAACGAGTGAACCCTGTCATTGTAAAAAGCATTGTAATGAATTGGCATGAGACTGCTTTCTGTGAGTGTTTCAATGTCCCCCGTTGCCCAGCTACCACGGACTATTCCATCCACAACGTGTTACGTATCAGCAGAGCTGCGGAAGCGAAGAGGACGTTTGTTGTCTGAGAAGAAAATGAAGCAAAGTTATCCAAGTGGGTCTGAAAAACGTAAGAAGCAGGAAGAAAGCAAAAAGTTTGTGTCAACCCTGCCAACGGTCACAGATATTTTTACGGTGCTACAGCAGAGTAACACTAATGAAAGTCGCAAATTTAATGCAGCAAATAAACAAGCTGCCGCTAGCATTAGAGCTAGCAATGCTAACGCTTTTAGCGAAGTGGAGGAGTCTGTTGCTGGAAGCTCAAGTTGCGGTGATGCAGGAGGAGAGGAGCAGAGGAGGAGGAGGAGGAGGAGGAGAAGAGAAGAAACAAACTACAAAGCTCAAGAAACAGGGAAAGGGGAGAAACAAGATGATTAAAGGAGCAGAGGAGGAGAGAAAGAAACAAAGCATTCAGGCAAGAAGAAGAGAGAGAGAAGGAAAATAAAAGCAAAGGTAGAAAATGGTAACTTTGACATGGTTATGTATTTTGTTTTCTGTATCTCCATATTTAACCATTTTGTCTTATGTTTTATTGCTTCCTTTAGTGAAAGCAGACCAACTAAGGCACGAGATAGCGGTGTTTTACCAGAAAAAATGAAAACGAAGAGAATAAGTGGGTGGGCAATAAATCAATACAAACATGAATAGCATTATTTTTGTACAAATCAAATGATTTCATGCTAAATACATTTATTAAACACATTCTTTTTCCATTCAGATGCAGTTCCAGAGATTCTTGACATCAGTGCCAGACTGGACCAGTGAAGAAGTTTTACAACCTTTTTGTAGTAAGAATAAAAAAAATAAAAATCAGAACAACAGCTGTGGAGGGCCTCATGTCTTTGCTTGCCTTGGGCCCCCAAATTGCTAAATCCGCCCCTGACTGGGAAGGAATTTGCGCTCTTCAAAATGTGACGGGACCTAACAACGAACGACCTGATGCTCGAGTTTAAAAAAGGCAAAAGTTATTTTAACAGAGTTACCTCGTTGTAAAAAGTGTGTGAACATGTTTCCCTGGAAGTGCTGGAAGTTTTTCACCAACACCCGAGTCTGGAATCAGCTTTTAAGACAAAGTTCAGTAAGAAACCAATTTTTAATGATTATTTCTGATTCTAACGGGTCACTCTGAGTTTTTCATGCAGGCTGAACATGAAAATAGGTGTAGGAGACTACCTCCTGCATCAGCTTCTGATAGAAAACAGACGGTGAAACTCTAGGATCAGAAAAGCCCGACAGATCTACGTCACCCTGTCACTAACATTCATGGACTCACCCATCTTGGCTCACAGCAGGAAGGCTGTTGTTGGTTTAGTCCAGGAAACGGCAGAGAACGTCTCAGCTAGTAGAAGCTAACCGTTAGCATTAGCAACTCCACCACACAGCAGAACTCCTCCAGGCTTGTGTTGTTTGTGGAGATGAAACATCAACGTTGCAGAACAAACAGAGTCAGTGGTAGAGTCGTGTTGCTGTTAGCCAATCAGAGGAGAGATGATCAAATATCAGGAGATAGGACTCCAGATCCTGCCGTGTTCTCCTCCCCTCTGCTCTGGCTCACTTGTACTTCCTGAAACTGGAGCGCCAGAGCTTTTTTTCCCACGGAGCTTTTCACATCATTTATGCTAGAAACCTCTGCAGATGTGCTGGAAAAAATGAACGAATGAGTGCTTTGATCGGGTTTTCATTAAAGAAGTTGGTGGCTGAATTGAGACTCTTTGTGATTAAATGGTACCAAGAAGTATTCGCTCCACGATTCATCAATGTTGTTGTTTATCAGAAGTTTTAAACTTTTCACAGAACGTGCCGCATGAACAAGATCAGTGTCATTCTCGACATCCTCACTAATGTTTTGGTTTGCTCTTCTATCGCCACCAAACCTCCGTGGCATCAACGAGAAACTCGGCTGAACAAAAACATATTTTCTGTTGAGCTTTTTGTTAATTTTACTTTTGGGAAAAGGTCATTTTCTTCAGGCGTTGCAGCTCTTATTTAACTTCATCCCAACACTGACGACCAACAGAAAGGCTGATTTTCTGCTTTGTACTTCACTTCTATGACGTAAACTCACCAACGTATGTGAAAAAACCTCTGATTAAAGTCTTTTCTCCGGCTCGTCTGTGTTTCATCTTGGTTTTTTGGGGTTTTGTTTTTTTTTGGTTCCGCCACACTTCTGGAACCAAATCTTTTTAAATATTCAGACACAACAATTGTTGTTTTTTTAGAATTAGGATTTTTAACAAAGGGTCCGATTATTTCCTGGTTTTTATGTTACGCATCAAAGCAGCAGCTTTCCTGTTTGTGGAGGGGGAAAAAAAACCTTAGCTTCAGAAACAGAGCCGGCACCCCCGTCACCCAGCTTCTCGACATATTTACCGTACCTGGACGCACTAATGCTCCTTTGTAATGTCTGTCTGGTAATTATACTGCCAAGCACCCTGTTGGGGCAATTATACTAAAAACACCCTCATTAGCAGCATCAAGATGAAAACTCCCAGAAGCCTCAACCCCCCAGATCCCACCCCCCCACCCCCTCCACCCACCCACCACCCACCCCGGTGCACTCATGCGACTTCTCTTCACTGTTAGCTTTTTGCTTGTTTAACTCCATTACAGTAGCACAACAGCACAGTTTCACATGGCTGCAGTGAGAAAAGTTATGCATTCTTCACAAAAATAACAGTTTTAAGAGGATTTGGGACATCTGGAATGTTTATTCCGTGAAGAAGTTATAAATAACCACATGCATGCATTCTGCATGGCCTTAGTTTAGAGAAAGAGAGTTTAGGGTTGTAAATGGCGTTGGAAGGAAAAAAGGGGCAGCGTATGTTAATGCTGTCAGTTTAAATAAAGAAAGGTAGAAAAATTTACTTAGCTGACAAAAAGCATAGACAGACTAAGCTAAATGTAGAAAATATACGGTCCCTTTTGTTCCAGGTGTATTTTTACCAGCTTTTTTTTTGTAGTTTTCTCCTTCTTTCCAGTTTTGTCCGTTTTTATATCACTTCTTGTTGATTATTTAAATTCTCGTTGAACCGTTTCTGACATTTCAGAAACCTGCATATCCAGTTTTCTACACTTCAACTGCCCCCTGGTGGAGCATCCACAAGTGGAAAGGGCCAATTTTAATTATTCATTACAGTCATAAGGTTAGATTAACATAATAAAATGAAACTAACTATTATATAGCTGTTGTATTATCGTTATCATCATCATGGCGCAGCAGTAACTCAGGAGGTTGTGAGATGTCC